CCCCAAGATAGGAATAACTTGCTATATGAACTGGCGTTCGCCCTGTTTCATTTGGCAGTGTGACACAGTGCACAGGGAATGATGTTCTGGCCATTAGAAATGCTTCGATGATGCCCCTCTAATAGAAGAAGGAAAAGGAATGCTGGAATGAAAGCATTCCCAGTGTATTCAGAGGGACTGTTTGAACTAAGCAGTTGGCTTAGTTGGGGGGAAACAATTGCAAAAGAATAAAACTGGATATTTCATAAAGGAGAACGACCTTAGAACAAATTGGAAAATTTGATGGGGTATGTGTAAGGTTGACAGAAGAAAATATTGAGAAATCAGGAGATAGACTGGAAGAACCATGAGGGTAGTGTGGAAAGAAAGTCGGACTTGTGGAAAACAAGTGAACACACAATTTTCTTCCCTTTCTCTTTCCTTATGGTTTGCCAGGCAATGGAGCTCTTCAAGTTTACTGTTAGCAAGGTGGATTTATTGCCAAGTTGCCTGTTTTGTGAGGATACATCACTTGACAGGAGGCAGAAGTGCTTTGCATTTCATGTGTAGAGCAGTGGGAGCAAAGTAGAGCCCAACCTGGGAGACCAAGGGAGACTCCCCCTTACTGGGAAGGAAAATGGAGGCCAAGAATGTTAGTGATTTTAAGGGAAACCTCAATATGTGCTTGGAGAAGGAAGACATTGAAAGGTTAAGTGAAGGGGAGCAGGTGTCTGGACATATGAGTGTTTTAAAACATTTCCCATTGAAAAAAAAAATGCTGCTGCCTTAATGTATTTCTGTATTTCTTGTTTGGAAAATGTGTTTACTTCTGGAAAAAATATTTGGATCTATGTCTGAACTGTTGGTGACTTTGAATTGTCTCCCAAAGCACAGCAGATACTAGTTAATTCCTATAAAAGTTAATTAGTTTGTGTGCTTTAAGTCAGCTGTCATGGCAGCAGTAGCCGTTGCTGTGCCTGGATCCCTCTTTCTCTTAGCTTTGCTTGTGCTGTTGCTACTTAGACCTTGGTGCTTCTATTTGACCTTAGATAGTACCTTATTTTAATGACTTGTCCTTCCCAACTGTGAAATGTGTGACTCGAGTTGCAAAATCTAAAGGACAGAGATGGGTGTTTTTGTATTCAGCAGCGTGCTAGGTACTAAATGATCAAAAGGGTGGTGTATGTGGACCTCAATGTTTTATTCTTTAAATTATTTTGCTAGTGATTTTATTTAGGCGTGCACTGACCAAGCTCGTCTCGGCTGCAGCAAATGGTTTCATGTTAGACATCAACAGCAAAAAAAGTTTTGTGAAAATTGCAGTTAGTTGCATATAGTTATAAGGATAGAAATGACATTTCTAATGCACAAAGTTTGAGGTGGAAGGACAAAACATGTTGCTTTATAATGTAGTAGTGGTCTGCAGAGCTGCTTAGTAGGCCTTTTAAATGGATATTCCACTGCAGATGGGAGAAAAGCTCCATCAGTTGCCAAATCTTCATGTGGTAGACTGAATTCCCATCCCAGAGGATGGGATTCATGGAAAGGGAAAACCACACATGACTGAATTCATTTGATGTTTTACCTTTTTATGGATTCTTCAAATTAAATGTTCTTCAAAAATGGAAGTAAGATGTATATGTATGTTATATTCCATGGATTTTTTTTCTGCCCAAAGTCCTGCAATATTGGGAGAACACTAGATCCTGCCCTCCCTGTGGCTGCTCAGGATCCTGAGCTCTCCCTTCTCCCGCGCTTGAGTCACGTGGCAGCAGGTCCTATCGACCACTGTGTCTTTTGAACTCCAACTTCTATGGCATCTACAGCAAGAAAAAAGTGTGTCTGGAGTAAATGTATTTTTGCCTTCTCAGCTTTTGAGTTGAGCAGTTTAATTGTATGATCTTTGTGGGCCAAAAATGGAGGAAACCAGCAGAGACTTGCTGTACTCGATAATCACCTTATTGATCATTCCTGGTGCTCAGTCTCACTAACTGTCTCTCACCAATGCTCTCTAACCTCATCAAGACATGTCCTATTTAGTGATCAGGTGTAGTGTTTATATAGTCATATAAAACGATGATGACTGATAAATTACATTATCTCTGTTACATTTAATTGATATTGTCATGTTATGACCCCAGTTACATAGTGAAGAAGGTTTAGTTGGGTTTAGAAGTTTCTCTGGGATCATCTTTCATCTTGCACTGCCGAATTTCCTTTTTAGTTACCTGTGTAACCATGTCTGGCCAAGTCAGACTGTTTTTTTGGAAGGTTTGCCTACTATTGCCTTGTTCCTCAGGTGTTCCTGCTAGAACTCTGTGCATTTCAATACTTCAGATGGCTGGTGAAATGCTCTAATTTGAGGAGCACTCAGCGCAGCAGTTAATAGTCCCTCCAACCACTGTAATCTAAGGATCTGAAGGCAATAAATAAGCGAGGAGGTGTCTGCCCTGGTGGGCCAGACCTGGACACCTCTTGCTCAGAGCTGAGGAATCGGTTTGCAGCGCAATTATGGAGAAATAGCCTGATGTCCATTGTGCAAATCGGGTTTTCCCAGCAGATTGGAGTGCAGAGATATGAATGGAAATAAATAAAAATCACAGTTGGCTTGCTGTGCCTTTCAGCAAGCAGGTTGAGGCAAGTGCTCAAGGGCAGGTATGTGATGTGTTTGGCCCAGGACCATTTAATGAAGTAGATGGGGTGTTTTTTGGGGAGGGAATAAGTGTGATGCAGGACAGGAGCACCCTTGGGAAGTGATAACACGATACCTCTAGGGAGCATCACGAGGCACCAATGTCCATGTGTGGGGAGAAGTGGGAATTTCCACATCTATTTCCTGCTCTTGAATTCACAAGAGAAGCTTTTTGGTGGGGAGGAGTAATAAGGGAATAAACCTCAGGTTGGGAAGATCCTCTGTTAACAAAACTGAAACATGGTGCAAACTGTGTAAGGCAACATTGCCTTAAAAAGGGCAATGCAAGAATCGCTCATTTATGAGCAGTGGATGCTTTTTGCTTAAAAACACATGACAGGGTGGCACGGAATGAGGGTTTCTATTTTCAAAGCAATATGCAATTAAATCTGCTCCCCTTCACCCCCAGCAAGAGACACAAAGGATATTGCTGCAGCCCGAGAGGAAAAAAATAATAAAAATCTAAAATGTGCCCTGCAAAAGTCAGTTAAGGAGAAATTCTAAGTGTGGAGGGAGATGGGGATGTGCTAGCTCAGCAGTGCAAGGGTAAAATCGGTGTCAACCGCCTCAGCTGGAGAGAGGGGAGGAAAAAAAGAAAAAGGGGGGGGAAAAGTAAATGCCGAACTTCCGTTCGGGCGCTGCTGAAATAGAGGGAGACGCTTTCTGGGAAAGGAGGGGGGAAAGAGGGAAAGGGAGGAAAAAAAAAAAAAAAAAAAGGAGGGAGAGGG